AAGTGGTTTTATATAATTTTTTGAGGGCCCCTGTGTCTATCACCAGTCTGATAATTCGCCCTGCAACCGTTCGTCTCATGAACGGAAGCAGAGAGCTTCCGCTAAAAATTACTGCTTTCGACCCTGGACAAATCGTCCTCTACTTGTGTCATCTCATGCTGTGACCGTGACTCGTAGTCACCGCTACTCTCTTCTTGGGGTAGATGATTCAGGTTTTGTTGGGTTGGACTGCTCGCCGTAACTTTGATTGTCTTGTAAACCTGTGCGGGTTGCCTGAAGTGCGAGGAGGGATCCACCTCCATTGGATCGGACCCCGCCCTTGGGACTTTTGATTGTTTAAAGCGCTGTTTTGTGCTATTTGGGTTTTGCTGGTCATTTTTGTCTTCTTGATTCTTTTGGAAGTAGGGATTCTTGCTTTGAGAATTTTCTTCCCTTGCCTGTTGGGCGTTCTGACGCCAGATCTGAGACTTTTGCGAATTTTGTTTCTGGAGTTTTTCCTCAAGGTGTTTTGCAAAATTTGCTGCGAAGATGCATCTCTCATTGCTTGATTCGGCGTGTTGGGCTAGAGCTAAGGCTGAGGGGATGTCGTGCGTCTTTAGTGTTTTATTTGTCAATAGTGTGAGTTTTTTTTGACCTCGTCGAAATATTGTAACACTGGCAAGTTTCCCTGCTGAAGCGTGCTTTGTTGCTTTTTAGATTACGTGAACCGGTGTCCTGTCCGCGTATGTGAAATCTAACCTAGCAATAATAGCTTTGAAATTCAACACTGTGTTGAATGAGCCCAGCACAACATCTGCTGGTCCCCTTACTTTGTTTCTGATTATAGCTACAGCCTGGTAGTGTCTTGAGGTGCCGTTGTATGGCTCGAAGACTTCATGGGCTGCGGATGCGGCTTGCCTCCACGAAACATCATTTTCTATCTTTCCCTCGAACTCGGGGATGGACTTTGCAACATCTAGGGGCTCGTCGAAGCGGGCCCCTGGCACGATTTCAACTTCTTGGAAAATTTTTATCTGTGGTGCAGAAACTCTAGATTTACTAAGCTGGTTTGTCAGAGGGGCTATCTTCTCCTCGCACCTTTGCCTCTATCTGGGCAACCTGAATTCATTTTTTTTGATTGATCTAAAGTTAGCTCTAAGTATGAAGTTATTAGTTCGTCGCCACTACTGTCGTCCGCTTTGTCTTGGTATTGCCCTGGGCGCAACATAAAAGAATCAAATCGTTTCGGAATTAATTTTTTATTTAAGCTTACAAAGGTTTCTTTAACACTTTATTGCAACAGGCAGAAATTTGTTTAAGTTTGCTTTTATAAACACTGAAACCTCACACTAGACGGCTCTGGGTATTTTATTAACTTTATTTGAAATATACAAAAATGAACATCTTACATTTGTTTTCAAATATGAATTTTTGAACTTCGATCAAGTGGTGTGGTGGCCGCTGCGATATGTTGTTTTCCGTCGGCCGCTTGTTATTGTTGATTTGTTTTATTAACTCGCTCAGCTCTCTTGGCTGGGGTTCATTTCATTTCTGTTGTGTTTGTTGTGTGAGTGCGTATTTTTTGCACTGTTTTTGTTTTTTGTCACAAAATTTTGTCGAGCTTGGTTCCACTAGGATGCTCGGGCGAAAATGCTTCTAAGCACGCAACAAAGTTTACAAGAAAAATAGATTGTCGCATTCAAGGAATAATATGTATATAATATAATATATAATCAATACTATGACTGATATATGTATTTCATAGAGATATAGATTCCTCGGATCCATTATTGTCAAAAAATAAAAACAACCCCTCTCAAAAGAGATATTACGTCTTTTGGAACTTCCGTCTACAGCTGAAAATGAAAACGATCTGCAGTGCGATTCTGATGACGATGAGGATATTTATAATATTAAATTGGATGAAGAAGAAAATTGCTTTTAAAAAATAAGTAAGTAGTTAAATAGAACAGGAAATAATTTGTATTTATTCTAAATCTACTATTAAATAGTTTGCAGGGGCGGCAAGCGTGGTCTTGGTCGCACTGGCCAATTTGGTCACAAATTATCAATGCCATTACAATAAATTGTGTGAAGTTTGAACCATGTAACATCAATTTTTCGACTTTATGCCAAATAAATCGAGTTCTGGACCACAGTGGAGTGGATCGATTAGTGACACGACCGTCGGTAAAGCTGGCAAAGATGATATATTAGTTGGTAATACACAGCTGGAGCAGGTGAATTAGGGGAGGGGGAATGATAAGTCGGCAAATGGAATGTTGACGTCGTGCCGTAATTCCGAAGTTATTAATCCGGCCCTGCGCCCAGATTTACCTACGCCCTAGATAATATATATTGTATATTTTCTATATTGTACCGCAAGCTTAGAACCGTAGTATCAATGCCAAGCGCTGAGAAGCAGCAAATGCAAGAAATTGGAAAACGGCGTGGACGTGCGAGCTGAGGAGGAAAACGCAAATGTAAGAATTATAATGTAAACCAGTGAATTAATTAACAATGAATAAAGATTTCAGTTGATCGTTTGATTGATTTCATAGTTTGATTGATCATTGGAGATCCAAGCGAATACTTGAAATCCGTGTTCAATTTGGGAGCGAAGTAGCCAACAGCTAATAAAAAACTTATTAAACTTATTTGGTGAACCCGACTCGATTTGAGCTTAAACAACACCAGGTGCAAATCATGCATAGTTGTTTTAAACTTTAAATTTTATTAAATCGCTTTTGTGCGGAGTGCGTTGAATCAGCAACAAACATTTGTCTGCAACTGTCAGTAAAAGTTGAGGGCAGTAAACATTAAAAGTAATTTCCGTTGATTACCTAAGATAAGGAATTATATTTGCGCGCATCTATAGCCCAGTAACGGACTGCTGCCGCTAATTATCTTTGCGCTCATCTCCCGCTTAAACCGAATTTCGAGACGTTTTTCTGCTGGTTTATTGTTGTATTTGTCGCCAAAGCTGCTGAAAATTCTTGAAACGTTACCGCTGATGCAAGCTGGGTGACGTTTTTGCAGCGCAAGGCGAGTAGAGCAGAACGTTTAGCGGGCTTCCTCTCAAGCTTAGTTAAATTTCATGCGACGAGTCCGTTCTTTATGTGAGGTTGAAGAAGATCGATGAACTTCGTGAAGCATTTAGAAAAATTCAATACATTCAATGCTTATTTTTGCGTTACCTTCATCTAAGTACTACTTCCATGGCTGTATCCGGTAAGTTACGCGAAATGGAGATTTTGACCTGCTTTCTAGAAGAGATGAAGTCGGCCGAATTGCCGTACTAAGAAAAGCATCAGAATGGACGAAGGGATCAGTAAATAAGATGTCTGCTACCCCTTACTGATGTTGTCCACGCTCGTTTTCAACGGGGGGAGTATGTGAGATTCATCCTTTAAAAACATTGCAACTTTGTAAACACAATTATGCGATACTGTGCAATTTTATAGGCTATTATCTGCGTAAATAGGCACAAAAGCCCTTCTCTTTCCTCTCATTTGGCTTTATGTTCTGCTGTCTGAAGTCTGCCCATCGTCAATAATCGCTGTAACCACAAATAAAATAAACTACATTCGAAAATCGTAATATTTAAAGTCGTCGTTTTATACTAAAAATAGCTAATAAAAATACTTATTAGCTCAACATAAATATTTATTACATTTTTTTTATATGATGTACGATACCTCACCAAAAAAGTAAAAAGTAGTAGTCCATATGCGATGCAAAACAGGGGCTTGAGGTTTTAATTTGCTAACGTGTAGTGCGTTCAGATTGTCAATTTGACGATTCCTATATGAATCTGGAGTATTGTGTTTTACACTATATTTATTATAAGGGTGCTTACAGCGTACAATAAACGATAAAAAGCGCAATCATTTTTAATGAAGCAAACAAAAAAAAATTAATGGTATTGTTTAAAAGTTTTATATTAGTGTTATTAATCAAGTCTTTCATTAAAGTCTGGTTTCCATATGTACGCTGGGTCACAATGCTGCTGCATTGTGTGCATATGTGCATATGTACATATGTACATATTAAATAAATCAAAATATTTTTACGACTTATGTATACTGATTAAAAAGCGGAAATTGATTAATTAAATGGTAAAATTGATAATCGACGTTGGTCCTAATGCATGTAGGCACATTAAAGTAGGACCTAAAGATACTGTATTTTTTTTTTTGGACATAAGCATTTGGACATTTTGTTAAAAGATCGAAAGTTATTTAATTACTATATGAAAGTCTTGTATTGATGCATTTTTGCAAAATTTTGCCATTTCACACAATATACTTTTTTTAAACAATAAACTTTTCGAAATCTATATAACTTTTCTTCATAAATTAAAATAGTGACGTTAGACGTAATAGATTTGTGTGTTTTTTAGACCCGATACTCGTTCAGTAGAAGGGTGTACTACATCCTTTCTTGAATTGTGAAAATAGTAATAATAGCCCTCTGGTCCAACTAGTTAGAATGCTGTTCCCATATAGTTTTTCCCTCAACTATTTGGTTTTCAATGATCTGCTTCAGTACAGATTAGATTATCAGTATATATAGGATTACTAACGATGTGTTGACTTTGACCTATTTTTCTATCTTTTTTTTTAGTGAATTACATTTTTCAAAATTGGTTAACAACGATGAAAGTAACGAGTCAAATCAAAAGAGTCAAAAGTTTTGCAATTGTAACAAAAAAAGAGGAATCATATGAAAAATATTTTTCAAAGCTATTCTGTTGAACGGCACTGTATATATATGATAAATTTACTTAAGAATTGTATTTTGTAAAATTTAAAGACATTCAAAAGCATTATAGAGTTAAACCTATAGTATGGCTTATACATATTGAGGTTTTTCGAGTAATCTGTTATAAGGTGGTTAGGTGATAAAAAAAGTATTAAATTATAAATATAAATATAAAATATATATAATTATAAATTTAACATATTGTTTGTAAGGACAATAACCACCGATAAGCATATTTGTTTCTCAGACACTTTTGGTACGTTTTTCTATTGAGTTGCATAACAAACATTTAATACATATTCAAGATGTTCAACAAAAAATCATGATATCCTTTTAAAATATGAAAAGTTGTTAAATTATTAGCGATATCCGTTCTCTTGACAAGCTCGAAAACTTTCTAGTTTTTGTGGATCTCATCATTTACGTTCACCTTATCTGCTTTTTCATCCATAAGCCATAAAGGACACATTCCAAGCAGACAGCCCACAGTGATCCCGACAATTCGACCCTAAAATAATAGATATAGATATGAAAAACCCTTTTGTCTGTTCTTTGATTAACATACGTAACTTGACGACTGCTTGCTAGACTTTAATTCAAATTGCGCTGGAGTCAAATTGGGCTGCTTTAGACCCAATATCTGGCACCCATTCTCAACGTAGGTAGCCATAGTGATGCCCAGAATATCGCTTATGGTGTTGCCTAGTCCTGCGGCTGCCATTGTAGACAGCGTTATAAAGTGGCCCAAATAATATTCAATATATTCGCCCTACAAATGGAAATATATTTACACGTTTATATGGTTGTCTATACATCATACTTACCGCCATTATCATTATGAAATTGTCAAGAAATCCGAAAGCGACAAACGGCACTGCATTTACAAAGAAAACTAAAAATATATGATGACTTATTAGTTATAAACCAACAAGTTATGACATTTACTTACTGCTGTACAATTGACCTGCAGTGGGTGATGCTGCCGTCTCAACTGCAAACAAAATAAAAAGGAAAGTATGATACCACTATAGGGTTAAGAGTTCGTTGATGATGCGGATGCTGTATTATATCCACAGGCACAGCTTTATGTTAGTGGCTGATATAGTTATTTACCCAATTTTTTTCGCAGCCAATCATCGGGCACTGCACAAAAAGTTCCCGCAATAACTTGGCCCAATTCCGTCTTATTGGAAAGTCGTCCGAAGCGAGTACGCCAACTGCCAAAAGCCAGTTGACCTTAAAACCGATGTATAGTGATGTGTGAGCCGAGGCGGTGGCGTGTTTTTTGTTCCAGTGTCAGATATGTGTTATTAAGATATCGATGTTGGGATATGAAAAATAAATAAAACATTTTTGTCAAAAACCATAACAAGAATTGATTTAGTGTACGGTGTTAACCTGGTTCGTTTGTATGTATTAGACCATTCTGTTTTTCAACAATTCGCTTAACTTAGAATACGATTGAACGACAGATTACCCACACATTATATAACGCACCTCTCTTTTGCCACAGCAGACATTGGTTCAGAAATATCGTGTAAATTGGTTGAAGTCTTAATGACCAATTTCCCATCTTTATATATATCCTTCCCTATCTAAAGCCTTCAAATATCATATCCAATTGTTCCTTCAATCTGAAGAAGCGATTAAACAGCTTTAACAGTTTATCTAAAGAGCGTATTTTTCCATACCCCAGAAAAATATCTCTACCCTTCCTAGTACAATTCTTAGGGGGTTTTAACACCTTTCTCAACTAGAACAAGGGAGAATCTATAGTCGAGATCACCGACTATCAAATAACCGTTAATCAGTTATTGAAAGTGCGTACGAGAAATTGTAAAATTTTTTCATAAAATAAAACAATTATAAAATGTTTCATAGGTATGGGTGTGGTAGTTTTGGGCGGTTACGCGTCTATATCTCTGAAATCTGCATGCTTAAAACATGTGTCGAGATAACACAGAGCTTATGATAAGTTCCTGCTCCGGATCCCACTTGTAGTAGCACTTGGGTAATAAATAATAAATCACTCTTAGCCCAAAAGTCTACTCTTAAGCCCAAATTAGGTAATGATCGGCAAACAGCCAAAGAGTTTTTATAGCATACTTTCTGTACTTACTTTAAGCCTAAGCCTCCGCTTAAGCGAAAGTATTCTAAGTAGCGATACTCCGGAGATAATATCGATAATAGCGATATCGCTTCCCATATTGAAAAGGGCTTAACACGATCTCCAAATTTTCGCCGCGAGCTTGGCTATATCCGCCCGAAGCTTGGTCTATTCTTTTCAATCAGACCAGCGAACGAAACGGACGTGCTCTGGTAGCATAAGAATAAGCTTGATCAAGTTACCAGAGTAAATATTTTATTTTAAACTAATAAACTAATTTAACTTTTATAGGATTGGAACCTAGTGCTAAGAATTTTTCCCCAAAAAATTCGGCGGCCTTCAACCCGAATCGTCGGAGACAGGCCGATCAAAATCCAATTTTGTATATATTTGTTAGGCCTTAGCCGAATCTCCGCTAATGCACGTGTACTTAAACAACAAAAACAAATATCTCACCTAAAGCAAATTAATTCCCGGCCGAATCATGTATTCCCAACCTAAATCATGCTTAACCCAAAAAAGGAAAACAAAATGTAGCGGAGGATTATCTAAGTTGGTTATAACTAGGTTAGTTTTCTTGTTCCTCTTTAATATTTTCATTTACGAAATAATATGTTTGCTTTCGAAATTTTTCCTGAAAATATATTGGCAAAGGTAAGAATGAAATATAAAAAAAATTGAAAGAAGTGAAACATAAAATATAAATAAGTGAAAACAAACCCCAAAAAATAAAATACTCAGTGCATAACATTAATATGAATTAATAATAATAACTTAATTTAGCTGTAATAATATATAATATAATATAATAGCTGTGTAATATATAATAAATAAATAATATTTTTCACTTTATAAATAATCAAAATTAGAGTTTAAATATAAATTTAATATTTCAAAACCCATCTTTCCCAGCGTTTCTGGCAGTGTATGCTCGTGATTAAATATTTCCTATATTTAGGAAAAAAAAACTTTTGTTATGATGATCAAATTAGATCAAACTCGGCTGATCTGTATCCCTGCGAAATCCACTCAAGAGAGCGCCTAATTAACGTAAACATAAATGAGAGCCTATGTACGCTCAATATGAAGAAGTAAATAAGCTCAGCCAAGGGTTTGCTAAGCGTTCGCTATGCAAATTAGATTTAGATTTTATTCATACTTCAATTGTGTAAGACGTGAATTTGTCTGCGACGTTCGCTTAAGTTTTTGATTAATAAAAATATTTTTTTTTTATAAACCAACAAACTGCAAAGTTGTAATTGGCGCAGCCGGTAGGATCCGCGTGTGAACATAATCTCTTAGAGCTAATAGATTAGTTCGAGATTAATGAAGCGCAGCTCGTGGCGAACAAAGTTTCGTTTGTGCTTCAGTTTATACAAAGCAGATCCGCAAAAGAATCTATGTGACAAAATATTTGTGAATAGTTATCTAACTCTCGATGTTGGATACTATTAATACAAATTAAAAACTGCAAGTGACCATTAAATCGTGACTCACCAAAATAAATAAAAGGTGTGACTGTTACCAGGTCAGTGTAGCCCATCTAACTTTGATTGGACCGCTACGAAGGTGTGTGAATTTTAAAATTAAAAAAAAATAAAAACCCCGGTATTAACCTACCGAGTGATTCAAAAGCAAAAATCAACAATAGCCAACAACATGGCACAACCCAGTGAACAAATTATGATTCTATCCGAGTTACATTTGAATCAGGCTTTGGGCCAGATTCGCCACATCCCAACATTTGACGGTTCCACAAGAGAACTGGCATCATTTGTGAGACGTGTGGACTTCGTGATGTCCCTATACCCGACAACAGACAAGAGGCAACATAGTGTACTCTACAGTGCCATCGAGATGCAGCTGTCCCGACACGCACAAGAAGTGTCCCAGCTACAACAGTGCAACACTTGGGCTGAACTACGATCAGTCCTCATTGAAGACTTTACAACACGTTCTGGAGTGGTAGTATTCGTAAGTTTGTAGAAGAACTAGAAAATAAGATTTTCGAAATTTCAAATAAATTATCACTAGAAAATAATTATACAAATACAACTCTTTATACCGCCGCAATGGCTAATACTATAAAAGAATTCCAGACAGAATGTTCATGACTTTAGCAAGGTACGACATTACAACAACAACATTATTAAGACAAGTAGCGCAAAGGGAAGGCCTTTACGATACAATTGTATTAAATACAGAAAAAGCTAAAGCTAAATCAAACAGTCCATCTACATCACAAAGCAGTAGTAAAAATAATGATTCTCAAAAGAATAAAGGAAATAATAATGACCAAGGTACAAAACCTTATTATATTCAAACACAGCAAAATCAAAATAATTATGCAAGTAATAATTCAAAAAGGGTTGAAAATAACCAAGCGACATACAGTGAGTTCAAACAAAAGTTAGACCAAGGTAGAGCGCAAAACACTCTAAATTATCAAAAACCCACATCTTATTCTACTACTAACCAGCCCCAAAAAAGGCAGCGTGAAAGTTCCAGTGGTCAGTCTAAAATGGACACTAGTGAAAATTTTCATCAACTTGCCTCGGGATCGGAATCAGAAGTAGAAGAAGAAGAACCTACCCATTCATACAAATAACTATGTACGATATCAAACTCAAATGTTTGATTGACACAGGTTCATCAATAAAATTGATGAGTACAAATTTTTCCAATTGTCTGATTAACTCAAAAGCTGCATAGGATGTACACACAATAAACGGTCAAATTATTTTAAAATCAAAAATTGCATTAAAACCTAGTAAACTATATCCAACAAAGCAAACATTTTATTTACATAAATTCTCAGAAACATATGATATTTTGTTAGGCAGGGAATATTTGGAAGATTCCAAAGCAACTATATGCTATACATCCAATACAGTTACTTTACATAAATACACATTTAAATTGCATCTTGAAGATATTAATGAAGAAGAAGAAACACCTAAAGAGAGTTTAAAAGAAAACCTGTTAGATTCCCCAAATATTGAGTAGTCAATTATGTAACTGACAACGAACTCAATGAAACAAATGAATTTCGACTTGATCATCTAAACGATGAAGAGAGGAAAGCCCTCACCAGTGTCTTATACGAGTTTAGTGACATACAGTACAAAGAAGGTGAAAATTTGACCTTCACAAGTACAACTAGCATATCATAACAATTAAACACGAAGACCCAATTTACAGACGTCCATACAAATACCCACAAAGCTTCGACGAAGAATTCGAAAACCAAATGAAAGACATGATGCAACAAGGCATCATAAGAAAATCGAATTCTCCGTATTGCTCTCTGGTTTGGGTAGTACCCAAAAAGCCAGATGCATCGGGAAAATCGAAATTTCGCATAGTCATTGACTATCGCAACCTCAACGAAATAACCGTTGATGACAAATACCAAATACCGGTAATGGATGAAATATTGGACAAGCTTGGAAATTGCCAATACTTTACAACCATTGACTTCGCAAAAGGTTTTCATCAAATACAAATGGATGAAAATTCCATAGCGAAGACAGCTTTTTCCACCAAAAATGGTCATTTTGAATATACTCGAATGCCATTTGGTTTAAAAAATGCACCCGCAACTTTTCAACGTTGCATGAATAATCTCTTAGCAGATTTAATATACAAAAACTGTCTCGTATATATGGATGACATAATTGTGTATTCCACTTCATTGGAAGAGCACATAATGTCCTTGCGAAAGGTATTCTTAAATCTCAGGGAAGCAAATTTAAAATTACAGCTAGACAAATGCGAATTCCTTAAAAAGAAACTGAATTCCTAGGGCATATAATTACAACAGATGGTATTAAACCAAATCCCACAAAAATTAAAGCCGTAGTGAATTTCCCTATACCAATGTCCACTAAGGAAATAAAATCATTTATTGGTCTTTGCGGTTTTTAACGCAAAAAAAAATGACATTACGACTAAAAAAAGGATCAATAATAAATATCAAAGACTCAGACTATTACTTAGCTTTTGAATTTGTTAATAACGTCCGATCCCATATTAATACACCCAGATTTTAAAAAGTCTTTTTCACTAACTACTGGTGCCAGCAATTTTGCTATAGGCGCGGTATTATCGCAAGAGCATAAACCTATAT